AGATCTTTCGCGTATAAGTTACGAGATGGTGGCGCACTCTTAAGAAAAGAAAAGAAAAATAATTTTTTTTTTGTTTTTATTTCTTTTCAAAAAATATTTTAAATAGTAAAAAAAATTTACAAAAAAAAAAAGCTTAAATCATCACTTTTTTTTTTTTTTGTGTTTTCTTTTCATAAATTGCAATTCAATGCATCTTTTTTTTTGACTTTCTGAACCGTTTGCACCTTTACAAATGTTGAAGCAAACAGTGAGATAAACAGAATGTTTGCGTGGTTGATGATTATTTAAAAGAAAAAAATATAATAGAAAATCTCATGAGAATGAACGAAAGAGTTATGAAAGAGGAAAAGAAAGAAAAGAAAACTATTCAAATATTTTTGTTTTTCCTAAAGTTAATTCGCACCCTTGGCAGTATACTTTTGATTGAAATTCCTTTACATATTTGTAAAAAATTTTAAAAAATTTAATAAAATAATTCATAAAGTCTTTGATTTTTATTTATTTTTATAAACTAATAAATATATTCAAACTTAATGTTAATTTAATTAATTCAGCAATTAAATGCATATAGCTGAATATAGTTAAAATTACATCTGTATATTTTTATTATTAATAAATGAATTTATTGCATTTCTACAATAAACAGTATTATTATAATAGGCTTATGATAATAAATAATTCGTAAAATCTATCGTATACAGTAATATGATTTTTTAATTGCTGAATAAAAGTATACTGTATACTTGCATTAATTAGTAAATGCCTTATTATCAATCTATAATTATCTGGTTTTTGATGTTATAAAAACTGATTATGGATTTGATAATTTTAATTATATAATTTTTACAGTTTTCCTAAACAAGAACTAAAATACATAATAGACTTGAGAAATGTAGAATTGTTAATTTTAACGAGCAAACTATAAAAATAAAGAACTTTATAGTTATAATTAATTATTTTCAAATATAATTTGCAATAAATTGAAATATTATAAGCCGCCATTTTAAAATTGCAGTAATATTGTGTTAATATACAATTCAGTGATTAAAACTTATAAACTGATTTGTGTATTAATACCGTGTTGCCGTACAATTTTGAAATCAGAACTCGATCAAAATTTATAAGCTGAATACTGTATTTTTACATAGTTTTGAAGTCGTGGAATTGTTATCTGTAATCGTTCCGAATCGAAATTAAGAAGTCCGAAATCAAAAATCGATATTAATAAACTTTGAAAATCGAGAATCGAAACGAATTTTTTTGTAAGATTTCATTAATTATGTTAACTTCTTACTCAATAACAATTTTGACATATTCTGATGTCAGACTTACAAAAAATATATTACATAATTCAGCAATTAAAATTTATAAGCTGAATTGAATAGTATAATTGTTATTTGAATGTCATTGATGTTGCCGTGCTAAATTGATCAATTTATTTCCGAATTATCAAAGATATTTATTTAAAAAAAAATAAATTAATTTTATTGAAAAATTTTATATGTCATAAATGCCATCAATTACGTCACACATATTAATGTATAACACATAACAAATGTCGTTTCTTTAAACTGTCATTTCTGAATGTTAAATTTGAAACATAAGAAATTGAGAAATTTTCAATATTAAATCTCCTAACATTTTCAATCATATAAGAGTTATTAAACTGACATCTATATAACAATTATGTAACTATTGGAAAAGCAATGGGGGAAAAATTAATTAAAAAAAAAAACAAAAAAATTTTTATTAACCTCAAAATTAAAAATCGTTTTACATTGTAAATTTATTTTATTTTTGTTCACTCAAAATCGATTTATCATATTGCAAGAAAATTTTATTATTACGAAAATTTTGAAACCACGAAAATCTCATTTAATAATAATGAAGGTACTCTAAATACAATCTTACATTTACATACATATCAACATGTATTTCTATACACATATATACTACTGTAACGCTTTAAATATACAATAGGTAAAGCGAAAAAAACAAAAAAATTTTATTAAAATTTCTACTTAAGAAACAATGAATCATCCACAACATTTAAAAAATTATAGTCTTAATATGGTGAAAGATGTCAAGGAAGTAAAATTTTTTTTTTAAATTTAAAATAAAAATCTAGCTAAACTATAAGATATTTGTGAGTAATTTTGATCTGATTAAACAGAATTGGAACCCTTATTTTATTTCTATTTTGCTCTAAATACTAATTTCATTAGTCAGTCGGACAGCTTAGGATTCGGTAATTAAATTCCAAGAAAAAACTCTTAAATTTAGACTTAACGACAATTTCATTTTCATTCAGCAATTCAAACTTTACTGCTGAATTGATAAATAAGAGTGACGTGACGTATGGTCCGTGTATTCTGTGTTAAGGCGTAGACGTGTAAGCAACTGAAATGTTGCTTACACGTCTACGTTAACGTGCCATGGGGCATGTTAAAATAGTTATTTGTATAACTTGTGGGATTCCATCTTAAAATTAAATGCCGTACTATGTGTGTGTATATTTGATTGATTGATAATGACGGCATTTCTATCATTTTTACCACTTCTTAAATATTTTATAGAAATATTATGATTTAATAAATTTTAGAATTAAAGGATCTTATGTTATACAACAATTTACTGTGTTATAAACAGAAGAACAAATCAAAATATCAAAATACCAAAGTAGCACAACCAAAAAAAAAGCATAAATAAGCGATTCTTTTATATTTTTCTCTTTAATTTTTCGATTTTATATTTTCACCTTAAGAGTTAACATTAAAAATTTCAAGACTCAAAGCATCTTAAAAGCTTTTCCAATGATCTTTAAACTTTATTATACTTCAAGAGTTCAAAAGTGTATTCAAAAAGCCTTTATTAACGAACTTCTAACGGTGATCAAGATAAGCTTTCGGTAGTTATTTTGGTTATTAAAAATAAGAAAAAATAAAAAAATTTGTTAATCAAATTCAACTTTTTAGTAATGGTGAAAATAAAAAAATTTTAACAGCATTAACTATAATTAAAATTGCCTAAATTTTGGCGTATTCATTTACATTCATAGATTTGGTAAAATTTTGCTAATTTAAAATAGAAAATTTGACAATATTGAATTTAAAATTTTTTTTTGTTTTGCGAAATTTTTTTTAGATTAAAATTTAATTAGTTAGGCTAATGAATTCAGAAATTGTCTATTAAATTTTAAAATACTAAAATTTTATTGCATACATTTAGGGATATGAAAATATCAATATTAATTTTTATTGTGTTGCACAAACAATTAAACTAAATATTTAGTATTAAATTGAAAAATATTAATTAAAAAATGTATAATTAAATATAATTAAATATTTTATATGCATGTATTTCTGATTATTGGACCCCCCTTGGAAAAAATATAATGAAGCCCAACTTTTAAATTTGAATTTATAAATTTTAATTTTAAAATCTGTTAAATAAAAATATTAAAATAAATTAAGAATTATTTTTTTTTCATTATTTTTAATTATTAATGAAAATTTAGGGTGGGACATGTAAATTGATTTTTGATATATTTCATCCGGTTCTATAGATGAGTTCTTGTGATTCTATATGGATGTACATTTTCAAAACGTTTTGAAATTAAATAGGTATACAAATAGGTATACAAATATTTTTAATAATATCACTATATACAATAATTCTTGTGCCATAAAGTTTATTTGAAAATGAGCGGGTTGTGGTGCTATCCGATGTGATTTGCCCCATATTCCACTGTACATACCTTTTTTTTTTGATCGATTTTTAAAACTTGCTAACATACATACATATGTATGTCAAGAAAATAGTAATTCAAAAAGAAAAGCAAATTATAGTCTTAATAACATTTGGTTCTTTTATCGTCTTATATGAAATTACTGTGGTACTTGTACCTATTTAAGTCCCTATTTAAATTTATTTTGAAGATGAATTACTAATACAACGTGTAGTTGTTTAATTAACTAGTATTGTTCCACTAATAATATTAATTTTTTAATGGAAATTTCTTCGCACAACTGCAGAGCAGATGGATGACGTAATGAAAGGAACGAATTTGAAGTTAATTGCTGCAATATGAAATTCATTAGTTATAGAAGATTTCATTAATTTTCAAAAAAAAAAATATTTTTTTTTTATTGTATTTATTAAATTTTAAGTTCAAAATGTTGTTTTTAAATAAATTTTTCTCTTAATTTTTAATATTCTCGATTCTTCCTTTTATACCTAAGATCATCAATAATTTAATTATATTGAAAAATTTTGAAAAAATCTAAAAATATTTAAAATAACAAAAATAATAATAGAGGTAAAGCTACTTAAATTCAACAAATTCAATAACGAATAAAATTTGATGTTCTCCTAAAAATATGCAATTTTTTGTTTTTTTAATAAACACATTAAAAAGTTGTTATTAAATAATTTTTTTCAGAAATTTTAAAAAAAAATTAATTAAAAATAAAATTTTTTCCACTTTTAAATAAAATCAATTTAGATTCTACAACAAAAAACAATTTCGATTTACATATTTTGTGTAGGAGAAACAAAGTGTCAAATTTAAATTATTGAGCACCATAAGTCTGCAATTTGTAAAAATTGAATTTATGCAAGTCAAGAAAACGGGCTCTCATATTAAAAAATTCAATTAAATCCCAAATTATTCATAGTCTTTTAAACATTCTAGATTATTAAATTATTATCCTGAACTGATGGACTAAATTTAAGAATTTTAATTTAAATTAAAAATAATTATAAAATAAGTAAAAAACTTCCAATTTTCAATATAAAATTATTTTGTATTTATAATTATATATTTTTTTTTTTTGTTCCTCATATATATTATTTACAATTCAAATAAACAGAATATTTATTTAAAAATCAAAAAAAAATTCCAAAGTCTTGTACCATGATTCAAAATTACAAGAAAAAAAAAAAAAATTTAAAAATTAAAAATTAAATTTTGTTTTTTTTCTTCTTCTTGTTCCATTGACTTAATAACGACGTCTGTTTCTGTATACACGACGATTTCTGAATACACGACGTTTTGCTGTTTTATAACGATAACCATCATCTTGTGAGAATGTATGTGCTGGTTCTACATCAACTGTATCATATGATACAGCTGGTTGTTCATAATGTTGTACAACTGGTGCTGGTTGTTCATAATGTACAACTGGTGCCGGAGCTGGTTGATATGATACATGATGTTCTTGTATTGGTGGTAAATATTCATTTGATAATTGACCGGCAGCAACGGCAATTAAACAAAGTGCAGCAACAAATTTATACTGTAAAATAAACAAATATATATTTTTTTTTTAAATAATCCTTTTTGGAATTGTAATATTATTAAAATTTTACAATAATATCTTTAATTATTTTAAATATTTAATAAACTAACCATTTTTATTAAGTTTTTTTTTTTTACAAAAAGGTTGTGTGTTTCAAATAGTCAAACAATTTTGAATGTGCTGAATATGAATTTTGTTCTTGAATTTATAGTGAAATTTTTTTTTTAATTGTTTGGCAATAGCAATATGTATAACAGTTTAAAATTAACACTCCTTCTATATAATAAATTTAATTTATCTTTAAATATTGGGCTATAAATCTTTAAATTCTATATATATATATATTATAATTTACTTATATAATACAAGTGTATTCCAAAAAAAAATACAAAAAACAAAATCAAAAATTTGATTAAATTTATGATGAAGAAATGACATAAAAGTTATAGAACAGTTAAAATGTTTGTTAAATTTTTTGTGTTTTCTTATTTTTTTTTTTGTTGCCATATAAGTAGTTTAAATATTATAAATAAAAAAAAATTCATCTTTACACCGGTTTTATTTATAAAGATCACACCTTCTTAAATTGAAAAAATTTAAAAAAATTCTTAATTTCATTTTTTATTGAAAAGCGAAATTTTGAATTTTTTTTTCTTTTTTATTGATTTCCTCTTTTATTTTAATGAAAATTTTAACAAAACAAAAAAAAATCAAACTCGTAATATGAAAGTGAATTTGATTTTTTCTTTTGTTATTTTTTTTTTTTTTTTTGGTCATCAAACAAATTTATTGGACATTAAATTTCATCACATCAAGCATTTTTTCTTGTTTATTGTTTTGTTTGTGTTCTTGTCTCTTTTTTTTTTAAATTAAGAGTAAAAATTTTTTTTTGTTAACCATAAATTCAAATAATTAGTTTTAGAACAGATTCTAATTTCGAGATAACAACAAATTAATTTTTATGTTTAATTTTTTATTATTTTTTTAATTATTTCTAATTTATTTATTTTTTTTTCTAATTTGGAAAAGTTTTTTGAACTTTTAATCGCAGTGTGAATTTATTAAAGTAAAAAAATTTCTATATTAGAAGTGATTGGAAACAAGAGATTTAAGGGAGTGTGAGGAGCGGAGAAAGGAGAGAGAGGAGAGAGAAGAGAACTTCATATTGTAGAAACTGCAATAAATTATTGGGGAAATATTGTCTTCCAAAGTGCTTGAGCTGAAATTTCGGTGACTCACTTCAAATTCCGTGTATTTAATTGTCAAATGTTAGTATTATTATACAGGTGTCAACTCCTATATGTAAGATTTTAACAATTTAAATTGCAATTAAATTAGTTTTACATGATCTACGTACAATATAATCTGAAAATAAGAAATTCTAATATAATCTCTGATATTGAAATGTTGAAATCTTGAAATTTGTATCAAAAATCTGTTTCTTTGGTTTTTCTGTCAAAAATAGTCTACCTCTCTCAGAAATTTCTCTCTCCAGATGGACTATTACCGTCAAATTGAATTTGTGAATCTAATTTCGTTTTGAATTGTTCTTGCTTCGGGTTATATCATATTACATTAGGGATGCGGGTCAATGTTTTTATCTGACATGGGTTGTTTTATTAGCAAAAATTAATTTTTATTTTAATAAAATGTAAATATACATACATGAGATATTCAAAATACGCTGCGTTATATGCATATGTGTAACAGTATAATTTTCACTGAAAAATTTCTGATTTTTGAATGACAATAATTATTTTACATCTTCATATATCTGAAAATATGGACAAAATTTCTACAAAGTGTCAGTTTAATAAATTTTTACATTGTTATTGCGTATACGTAATGCTTTAGTATACAAGAGAGAGAGAGAGAGAAACTGAAGTTTTGTTAATTCTCAAATTTCTCTTTTTTTGTCAATAATTTACTATAATATTCACTTTATTATTAATGTTATACAGTATTTTATAATATATACTCATGACAAATATAATGTTCAATAATTCGGCATTTCAGTTCGGTTATGACAAATCAAATTAATGCCATCAAACTGAGGTTTAAATTTACGAATTTATTAATTGAAAAAGTGTCGTTATGCATAAAGTTGCAGCTCATATGCCACCAATGCACAGTAATATAGGTTCTTAATTGCAAACCTGCAATTTATGCGCTAAATTTATAACAATTTATTATTGTACTATATCAAAACTCATAAGGTTAACACTACATCAAATCAAATTATTTTTAATGTCATTCTCTATATATACACTGGATTTATGTTAATTAAGCACGTGTATAATATATTATATTAGGCTTGTGCATATTAGGCATGTCCATATTGAGCATGTGCTTTTTAAAATACTAGATAAAATGTTAATTATATTATATTTGCTATATGTATTTAAAATTGATTTTGAATGCTTCATCTAGATATATTATAGGTAAATTAAATTCAAATTTTAAAAACTATTATAAATTTATTTCAAATGACTATTTTAAAATAAAATAAAAACTGAAAAAGAAAAAAAAAATCATTAAATTTTAAATTGGACATTATAGCTGATATAAATCTATATATGTAAAAAGAATTTATGTATTTCATTAACTTATATAAAAAAAAAACACAAACAAAACAAAATTTCTCACGAACTTGAAAAAATAAAAATTAACTTTATTAGGCTTAGTTTACCTTTCTTTTAATTATTTTTTAATTTATAGCTTAGAGTAGCCTCCAAACATAAAAATAAAATCTTTTTTATTTCTATTTTTTGTTTTCTTTTTTATTTAAATTGATGAAAGACATATGTGTGTACCTATATATTGTTTCTAATATGTGAATTTGTTGTAATAATTGGTTTGACAACAAATTCATTTTTGAAAATGTGTTTTTTTTTTATAATTAATGAATAGAAATTTAATTACATTTTAAGTAGAATTTATAACATTTTTATAAATTGGTAATTTAATTTAAAAAAAAATTAATAAATTGGCGGGAATGGCTGAATAAAATATTGGAAAAAAAAAATTAAATTCATTAAAAAACTACATGAGAATAAGAATAATATCGAATTACGAATAATTTTTATTTTCGATTTCTCTCTCATTTTGTTCAATTAAGAATTAAGAAAATTATTCAATTTTCCCCAATTGAATTTCTCATTTGTTAGTGTTGTCATATAATCATTATCGAAAAGAATACGTCTTTATTGTTAACATTTAAATGTTGGAGATAATAATTCGGAAAACATTCTCATTAGACAATTTATAATGCAATGCTCAATTTATATTATGAATATAAATGATTAAATTTTAAACTCATATTCTGTATATGTATACTCTTACACATATTCTCATTTCTCCGCTGCTTTTCTGTAATCCTAAGAGATTGTTTTTGTCGAAACATGAACGGCGGCAGTTGTAATTTGTAAATTGTTTTTTGACCAATATATTTACAAGTCATATGGTATTTTCTTTTATCTTTTTACAGTATATAATAAGCTAGCTCTGTAAAATAAGATTTTTTGACTTAATGTATAAATAATGAGATTCGAATGAAAAATATTAAGAAAAAATTAAATATTTTGTACCTTAGTATTCGATTCACTAAATGCTAATGAATGATGTATTTTCGAAATAAGGATTGCAAAAACAAGCCACACTGAAATATTTTTTCTTCTATTGTCGTTAAACTACCATACGTGCTAATGTAATTTATTATGAATTTGACATTCTCTTTAATTTTAGTACAATTGTTTTTCTCTTTTTCTTTTAAAAAATTTGAATTGAATTCAATTTTAGAGGTTTTCATAAAGCATCAATTTCAATATCAATTTATATTATTGTCTCCCAATGCTTGTCAAAAAAATATCAAAAAAAAATCTGCTCTATGAACAAATGAATCCAACTTTATAGTACTTTTTATTTATAGTACCTTCTTATTTAGTTTGTGCCTTACGCAATAGAAGTAACTCCTGTATTATTCGAAAATTATTAAGCGTCATTGTATGAATTTCATTTGAGAATTTTAAGAATATTTTGGTTTTTTTTTTCAAAAATATTTTGTGGTCAAATAATTTTTTTTTCTATGCAAATTTTGTATACACAATTATATTTGAATTTCATTCATAATATTTTTTTTTTGTCTATTTAATAATTAAATACAAAAATTTTTGAATAATTTAAAAAAGAAAGAAATTTTTCTTCAAACTTTTTAAATATTTTGAATTTTTTTTATTTATTTAAGTACAATGTATATGAAATGTATGAGAGTGCGTTTGTGTGTTTGTTTGAATAAATTTGAATGAATATTTTAATATTTTTAATTCAATAGCAAAAATTTTGTTGTAAATTTTGTTAAAGAAAAAATTGTTTTATGAATGAACGAATGAATGAATTTTACAAACAAGCGCCCAAAAATTAAAATTAATGAATTTAAAAAAAAATTCCCTTTTGTTTTATTTTATTTATTTATTCATATTTTTTTTTGGTTTTTTTATTTGTTTGTTTAAATTAATGGTTCATTATTATTATTAAAAAAAATTTTTTTTATGCTATAACCTTACATAGTGTTTTGACACAAAAATTGTAGTTAAAAACAAAAACATTAGACGAGTTTGACATTTTGTGTTAACGCATTAAAGTATTTAAAAAATTTATATTAACATTTAAATATTCTGTTAAAAATTAGATCAATTTACGTCAATTAATTTTAAATAAAAAATTACCTACAGTCGTATTAAGAATAAATATTATGAAAAGTTGGCAACATTTTTCCAAAAAAATGTATCCTAGCCTCAAAAATAATGTGCCGGAAGTATTAAAATTCTCAAAAAATATTTCTAGGGTGAATGGAGAGTAAATATCACATAATATAAGTTAAACACGCTTATACAGTTTGTTGAAAACTTAGTATGATTATTTATAATTTCGAAGACATGAACCACCACATTATTTCGTGTTATATTCTACGGTTTGTGTTTTAAATAGTGAGCCGTTAA